CTTATACCCTTTCTTTGGATCTGCCTCCTACTTGACTTTCACCACCTTTTCACCTGCATCCTATACTCCACCCAGGCAAAATTACACATTTTTCCCAGACCATGCAGTACATGTTTTTGCACTCTAAAAGTACTTGGGCCCGGCTGGCATTGATCAGTGGTTGAGCATTGACCTATGAACCAGGAGGTCATGGTTCGATTCCCTGTCATAGCACATGCCTGGGTTGCGGGCTAGATTCTCAGTGTGGGGGATGCATCATTGATGTTTTTATCTCTCTCTTCCTCTCCCTTCTTCTCTGAAATCAATAAAAAAATATTTTTGAAAAAGTACTTGGTGGGGCTGACAGTCACAATGCCACCTCTACCTCCCCACCGCCTTCCACTCCATAGAGATGACCCATCAGGCCAGGCAGGGGATTCTATCACCCTGACCAAAATAATTAGTTTAGATATGGGTAAGTGACCTAATAAAGCCAATCATAATCTTCCCCTCAAAGCTCTCTTGTTTTTGAGGACATGATGGTAGAAGCATATAAGATTGAAGCAGCTAGCATTTAGTTATCTCTGTCACATAGAGAATGTATGTCCATGGCAGGAAAGAGAATGAGACCAAGGCACAAAGTAAAGCAGAGCCCTGAGAGATGGAGTGGGAGAGACATGGTAACATTTGTTTGAGTCCTGAATTCAGCTCTACCTGAAGTCAGTAATACCACTACACAGTTCCCTTCTTGCTTAAGCTGGTTTGTGTTGGTTCCTATCACTTCTAATTAAACCAGCCCTCATACAGAAATGGAAGTGTGAAAAGAACAGACTCCAGAATGTGGAATTGTCAGAACTGAAGTGAAATTTCAGTGGGTATCTGATGGTCCTTGGTTGAGAAATTGGAAATCCTTGTTATCTGGTATCAAGTTGGCTAGTTAAATGATCTTCTGTTTTATCTTGAGATTTGGGTCATGCATCCATCATAGATGGAGATTTCAGGGACACACTGGGAAGATGTCTGGATATGGGAGTATGCTGACCTTTTCTCAAGATTTTCAGTAAGGTTCTGCAGTTCAGCTTTCTTCTATGCTGGCAAAACCAGAACTGTATACAGCTGTTTAGAGTTGCCTTTTCTGCTTGTGGCTAGCAAGCTAAGACTGCCAAGGGTCTAGTAATCATGCGTCTTATAGATGATAAAACCAGATCCTCCTCCCCCAGCTAAAGTGAGTGAGAATAAAGGCATAGAAATAGGAAATCCAATAGGAGATACTGGAGCTTAGGTCTTGGGAAGTTCCAGAGATAAAGACTGATCCTCCAAGCCACACCTGAATGCTTCTTTTTTTCTCCCAAGTTAAACAGTATTTATTTCACTTAGCATTCAGACAGTGCCAAGGATTCTGGTGCCTGGGGACCTTGGCTGTAAATCCTGTGGGAGAGAGTGGGATGTATTGGTCACAAACCTCATACTCCTTCTTGGACTCTCTAGGCTACCTCCTTCTTACTCTTCCTTAGTTGGCACCCCACCCATGCCAAGTAGCCCCTCCACTGCCACATCTATGGTAGAAATGCCACATGACAGGCCATGGGATCTGAATTCCCAAGCAGATGCCCAGAGGACAATGATGCAACTCAGAGTGAGTTAGTACCCTTTGGGGTGCACCTTGGCCAATGGAAAACAGGAGACATGAAGGGAACAGATAGACAAAGTCCCCCTCAATTCTCCTCTTCGTGACCTGCTCCAAGGTGTGGTTTTCCTTGCAAACACCTTGTGCTTAGCAAACAAACCTGTCAGATCTTCTCTCTCCCCCTGGCTCATATGAAATTGTGGTCAACACAGTAAGGCATTGTATTACATTCCTCCACATCTTTCCTTGCCTCACAAGTCTCTCCTTTCGCCATCCTGGGCTTCCATCTTCCAAAAAAGTATGAGTACTTTAATCCTTGCCCTAGAGTCTGCTTTCTAGAGTGCTTGGGTTAATACAGGGGCCACAATCAAAGACCCCCATCTCAACATTGGTCCCAATAGTAACAAGAAAGTCCTGAGGACATAACTGATTTTTTCCTGCTCAAAAACAGGGAATCTAGCCCAGACTGCTGGCTTTCTGTAAGAGGCCCAGTGCCAAGGTTGCCAGATCAAGCCATTTCTGGCCTACTCTAGGAGAAAGGCTAACAGCTGAAGACTCTGCCTGTGGTCCTCAAGTTATATAAGTTCTTGAGGCTCCCCAAATTTGGTGTCCATTGCCATACTCCCTTCAGGAATATTTTGGTGAACTGGCCTCAGTGTAATAATAGACCATGGCCAGAGGGTGAGGAATAGAGCAACCTGCAGGTTGGCCAGAATGAGTGGTGGTGTGGTTGTCTCACTCCTGTGCTAAGCATCTCCTTGGGTTGAGGCTTAGGAGCCAGTGCAACTCAGGGGTTTGTGACTATCTGCTCAGGGCCACTGGAGCATGAGCCACCCAAGTATTGAATAGGGAATCTGTCTCTGGGGGTGTTGAGCAGATTAAGGTTGACTTATTGCCAGACAGGCCCTATGGAAGCCATGATGTTAAGAGAGAAGGAAATGGACAAAGTGTGGCCTGTTGCTAAGAGACAGAAATTCCAAGGGCCAGATCCAGACTCAAGGACAAGGACTCAGTAAGATCTTGCTGATGGTTATTAGCTCACAAGAGCCCTAGAATCAAATCAATCAGTTTGAAAGGGAATTGTATCACTAGAAAATCCTCATACCTGGCAAATGAGGGTCTGGGAATGTATAATCTCTAAGACATTCTTTGGGCCCAAAATCATGCCCAAAGTTGTAAGAGGGAAGCTTCAGTTCCAGAAGGGGCATCCTCTCAGGGATGTCCATAAAGGAAAATAGGTAAGGGAGATATTTCCCAGTGGAAAGGACGGAGAACAATTAGTTTTGATCAAGAAACTTGCTCCACTGTCCAGAAGGATGTGCTATATGCTATAGATCAGTGACCATTGTTTTCTCTTCTCCCCTATTCCAAATGGAAGGTGTGTTTTTTCTTTTTAAAAACTGGTTATCCTATTTTCCTCCCCCATTTTATATTGGTTATATAGAAGTAGCTAAATTTATCTTTTGGATATGGATTGCAAAATCATGAGAAGTTATATCCAGACCTGATCAAGAATTGCACATTACAGAGGGATCCTGGACTGGGGGTTCGTTCAATAAAGCAACTGGACATGATCCTGTTTTGTCTTCCATTGGGAAGTGAGCATGTTTTTTGGGGGGACTTAGGGTCATTGCATTGATAGGCAGGCACACTTTTGAAATTGTATGTTTGTCAAGAAAACTATAGGTGGATGCTGAGCAATAAAGAAGTGGAATATAGTAGATGCACACTGCTTATTTGTCCATCATCCCTTCCTTTGGGGAGCCATTCCTCACCTCCACACAGTCCTGGTGAAGTTTTCAATTATGGTGGTCTACTCTTCCACCCTAGAGATGGGCACATGCCCATTCTGGCCAAAGTTCTCCCTAGGACTTTAGAGCTAGAACTAGTGAGGCCAAGCCAAAAGATGGAGACATCATTATTTGAACCCCTAGTTCCAGCCATGCCTGAAGGAAGATATATCCTTTGATTTATCAATTACGTAACCCAATTAATTTCTTATTGGCTTAAACATGTTTGAGTTGAGTTTTTGACACTTGCAGCTGAAAGGGTTCAGACTACTAAATGCACAAACAACAGAGACACAAACACCATGTTATTCAAACTCATTAGACATTTTACAAGTCTTCCATGATCTTATAGGGGTCAGCAAACTTTTTATCTAAAAGATCAGTTATTTTAGAATTTGTGGGCCACACATAGTCTCTGTATTATTTAAAACATTTTTTGCAATCCTTTAAGAATGTAAAAACCATTCTTAGTTACAAACTAAGGCCTATAGGCTATACAAAAATAGACTGCAGGCCAGATTTGTCCACAGACCATAGTTTGCTGACCCTTTCCCCGACTCTGCCGACCTCTGCAGCCATTGGCATACAATCTGGCAGTTCCTAACTATGAAGCAAAATACTTTTAAATACCATTTTGTTTCAAGTCTCTTAACGTGACTTTTTTAATGAGTTAAGGTTCAGGGTAGAGTTAGGAATGGGAAAAGAGTCTTGGTGCCCATTGTCTGCACATAGTAGGCACTGAATAAATGGTAATCGTTATTATTTCTTGGTAATTAAGATAATTTATCAAAATGATGCACTGTCCAAATGTCTTTGTCCAAAAGTCCCAGTTCATCCTCAAAGACCCTTTCCTTCTTTTAATATCCTTCAGGAAACCTTTTTCTGATCTATCAAGTCTGAATTACCAATCAAGTCTGAATTAGGTACTCTTCTTATCATGTGTGGCCCTCCATTATAACTACATTATTGGTCTGTCTTTCCTCCTAACTTTGAGTACTTAGAACATGCCTGAGCCCAGGCTCCTAGCACAGTGCTTAGAACCTAGTACTGAGGGGGCCTCTATACCTCTATGTGAACATCTGTTTGAATATGTAGGTGCTACCTATCTCCATCAGTGTCTAGGGTGGTCAGTCTATGGGTCAGCATTGTGCTGATGTACAGATGCCCTTGACACTGGTTCTTCTCTCAGTTGAAAATTATTAATTGATATATACCATACCTTACCTGGTAATGTTATTACTGGATCTATTTTTCATCCCATTCCTTCCAAAAATGAGTCAAAGACAGAGGAAAAGGTAGGAATAGGTTTTCTTAAAAACTGTTATAAAGGACGAACCCTCTGATCCCACCCTCGCATCCTTTACTCTGATTTTCTATCAGATCAAAGGCCTCCAGCCTCAGCAACATCTGGGGATCAGAGTGCCCACCACACAGGTGGGGCCACAGACCAGTTTAATCTATGTCTATGGGGTGGAGAGGAAATTATCCTTCTGAGAAAAATATGTGCAAATCCCTGCAGGCCCAGGAAAGGCTGGCAAAGGCAAGATGAATCATGGCGTTCTAAGCTGAAATCTTTTGCCCATCTCACAGACGCAGGCAGGAAGTACCACCATTGGTCAGCTTTATATGGCACCCACTGTATACAACAGACAGACAAAGACAGACAAAGCACACACCACTTCTAAGCTGAACACTGCTCACCATCTAGAAGCACCTTGGATAAGCACGTGAAACACTATTGCATAAGAAAGATATACTTTTTAAAGGAATGAAGAAGTATTTTGGCAAAACATCTACTCTCTCAGGTCCTGGGTAAAGAGGGACTTTAAATTCTGAACCTTCTAGATATTGAAAATTACTCCCTTCTTAATGGCTGTATATACAGTAGCAAACTTCCAAGTCTGTTGTCACAGCCCTCTACATGTATCCTGAATCTACTTTACAGGTGGTCAAACTTAGAAATAGAAGGTGGCCTGGAGCAAGGGGACACTGGGGCTGGCTCCCGGTGAGGGCAATTAGGAGGTGTCTCGGCTCAGCCAAAGGCAGGGCCTCTGTCTATATGGAGAGGAAAGGGAAAAGCTAGGGTGGCCAAAACTCCCTTTTTCTTCCAGCCCAGAGAAGTAGTGGTTCCACTGGAAAGGCTGTCAGGAAAGAAAGGCAGGTTCCCACTCTTGGTGGTAAAGGCCTGGGCAGGCCAGAGTTCCTCCTGAAGCCTCTTCGGTGATGCTCTCTGTGTTTGGGTACTGTGGGTTCACTGCTTCCATAACTCTCTTGTCACCTGCATCTGAGCCTAGACTTCAGGTCCTTAATTATTTTAAAAAGGCAGTGTGGGGAGATGGTTTAAGAGAATATGTGACACAGAACAATCTTTCTACAGCCTCCCTTTGAGTAGGCTTGGGCTTTTAAAGGTCTCCTTCACCCTGTCTCCTAGGGATATTTAAAGGCAGCTTTTATGAGACTCTATACTGTCTTTGTGTTTCTCTTTTATGTGTTTTGTTTTGATATATATATATATTCTTTAAAAAGCAATAGTCCTTTGGTCCCTAAACTCTAAGGAATGATATGATTTTGAACGAAGTAAATCTGAGCTTCCCTTGCAGAGAAGCCTCTGGCACCACCAAGTCCCTCTGCTGGTTCCCTTGACAGTCCATCTTCAGCCAGTCCCAGCTGCCTTTCCAGCCTGAGCTTTATGCCACAGGCATAGAACAACCCACTTGATGAAGACAATCCTTAAAGTGGCCTGAGCCCCAGGCACTGGCCTTGGGTCCAATCCACCTCCGTCTGCGGCTGCTCCTTCAAGAAAGGCTGCTTAAGCGCTTCTGTGCTTTTCCTCTCTTTTCTTCTTCTCACTCTTCTGAATCTGTTGTTGGTATTAATTGATAAGGGACAGGGAGGTAGGGGGTGGGAGGCAAAAGTCAGTCTGGAGGGCAAGATAAGAATAGCAGCTTGCCCCATCAGCTACATCTTAGGTGAGTGCCTGGGCCTCTCTTCTGGAGGAGCACAGCTACAGCAGGGCCCTGGTCAGCACCCTAGCCCAGCACCCACCCCAGAGGGGCTCCCTGGGGTAGCTCAAGTGAGGCAGGGCCATGAGGACCTTCTGAGATAGCGAATCTCTAAAAGTTTCAGGCAGCTAGCCCCACCAGAAACCTAACAGAGCCTGTCATCTCCCTCCCCATCACCCACCAAGCCCTGCAGGTCCTGCTTCTTCAGTGTACTTGCTTCTCTCCTTATCTCCATGTTAACTGCCATTTCCCCAGCTCTTACATCATGTTCCCTTTTTGCTTAAATTCTTCATGATTCTCCATCATCTTCAGGATAAAGTTCAAACTCATGGCCTTTAAGACCCTTCACAAGCTTGCCCAAACCTACTTTTCTAGTCTCATTTTCCATCCCCCTGCACTCCCATGGCCCCCTGTGGCTATCTCTGGAGTAAAAATAACTGGTTGGATCTAGTTCTTAATTATCTCTCCCAGAATATGGGGACGGGAAATGTTGTCTATTTTATCTCAGTTCTTGAACTGAAGGAAAATCACAAAGTCTCAAACTAAGGATTCCTCCTAACTCCTGGCTCTTCTCTTCCAGACTTTTTCATAAATGAATGCCCCAACATCCCAAAAAGAACAGAAAGCTGAGAGGGTCTCCGTCACTCAGACCCCATTTGCCTGGGGTCCACCAAGGACTCACCTTTCTGTGACTGGTCAGTGAGAGCAGATCAGTAAGGCCTGTTGGCATCCTTGGGCCTCTTTAGCTGGACCTTGAGCCTCTTCATGCCAATTTGAAAGCCATTCATGGCCTGAATAGCTGTCTGGGCACTGGTTGGATTGTCAAAGCTAACAAACCCTGGGGGTTTGGGCACAGAGGTTAGCTGGGAACTCTGCTTGGCAGAGCCTCCTTTCTCTCTGACCAGCCTCTTCTCCCTCCCCCTCAGGCCAGTTCCATCAAACAGATACCCCTCTACCTTCCATTGTTTGCACGTACATGTACACACACTCATACTTACATGGTCAAATGGTTTGAATTTTATAAAAGTGTGAGTCTTGGAAGGACAGGAAGCAATTCTGAGTATGTGGGTGTTGGTTGGGGTATTTTCCTGTCTTTCCCTAGCATGGGTTGACTCCCTCCTCAACTCCCATTCTTGTCCTCTGAACTGCAGTTGGAGTTGGAAGGGATCTCTGTGTTTGGGTACAGAGCAATAAAGAAGCAGACCCCGACACCTCCTGTCCTGGCTAGACTCTAAAGCCTGACCTGGTCAAACATCTTCCAGATACCTGACCTTGCCAGGTAAACCTGAATTAGACTTGTTCCTGGTCTGGGCTTAGCTCCACCACTGGTCTGTAACTCTGCTTTGTGCTATATGCTCAGTCTTTGGGAATCATTGACTTATGGAGGAACAATCTTAGGCTCTGTAAGGAATCTTAAAGTTGGCAGTGGGGGAGGCTCAGGGATTGGGCTCAGCTTACCGAAACACTTGCTCTGGTTGGTGGCTCGATCCACAAAGACTTTGGCAGAGACGACAGCTCCAAAGGGCAGGAATGTCTGTATGAGTTCTGCATCACCAAACTCCTGAGGCAGGTGATAGATGAAGAGGTTACAGCCTTCGGGGCCTGCAGGAACAGCAGCAGGCTGGTTCAGGGAAGGGACCCTGAGTCCAGCCCCACCAGGTCCTGATGTCCAGCCCTGTCCCTCACCTTCTCTTTGCTGCTGGGGCAGGGCTGAAGGCTGCTGAGGGAAAGCTGTGCTCACTGGGGCATAGGCTGATGGGTAGGCTGGTGAAGACAGAGGTGGGAGTGGGCAGTGAACCCCAGGAGCCATCCCCCAAGCAGGGCCCCATCTGCCTGGTCAACTTTGACCAATTCAGCCCAGTCCACGGTAACCCTCACCCTTAGAGAGGCCATTCTGGGCCCAGGGGTTGGGGGATGGGAGGGTTGACTCCTCAGAAAAGAGCATAATACCCCCACCCCTCACCCCCAATTTCCCTATTCCTTTCTGGGACCTTTCAAACCCTCCCAGGCTGTGCAGAGCCCAGTGAAACCTGCGTAGTGGTGCATCCCAGCGTAGGCCTGCTGCAGCGGGTCAGCCACACCCGGGCTCTGGGCTGGGGAGAGAGGGGCACAAGGCCACAGTGAAGGCCTGCCGGTGGGCAGGGTGAAAGGCAACAGGAGAGAGGAGAAATCCTTTCCAGGGAGACCCCCCCCACACACACACACACACCCTGCTCCCCCCAACTCCCCCGTATCCCCTCACCCTCGCCCCCGCTCCTCACTCCATTTCTGGGAGATTTTGGCGGAGCGGGGGCGGGAGGGGGCCCACCTGGGTAAGGGGAGAGCCCGTTATTGTAGAGGGTGTCAGGGCCCGGCTGCCCGTTGGTCTGAGGGGTCAGGGAGCTGAATCCATTGACTCCGAAAGGTGCCGGGAGCCCCGGAAGAGTGCCCGGGCCACCGCCAGGAGGGGAGTTGGCTGCAGGTGGCGGAGGAGGTGGCAGAGTCAGGCCGCAGCCGCCCTCCGGGCCTCTCCCCGCCTCGCCCGTCCCCCCCACCCCCGGCTCAGTACCTGCCGCGGGTAGCAGTGGCGTGGCGACTAGGCTGAAGGCCGCCACGTGCTGCATCTGTGCGGCCACCGCAGCCACCGGGCCTAGTCCCGGGCCCTGGGCCGCTGCCAGCAGGGCCGCCTGCTGCTGCAGGATCTTTGGGAGGGAAGAGGCGTGGCTGTGGATGGCCCAGCGGCGGGCAGCAGCTCCAGCTCCCGACCCGGCCTGGCCCACCGCCAGCCCACTGCGTCCTCCAGGGACCGGGCACCTACCGCCGTGGTGTAGGCTCCGCAGGCGCCAAACGGCAGCGGCGCCGGGTGGAAGACGCCCAGCTGGCCCGCCATCTGCTGCATACGACGCAGGGCTCGCTCCCGGTCCGTGTCCGCCAGCTTGACCACGAGGCTGGATGAGGCACCCTGGGCAGGGCAGGGGAGGCCACGGTGACTGGTCCAGACCCCAGTCTTGGCCCTGGGCTGAGCGCCTTGCACATCAGGCCCTTTCCTAGGGCACTGATCATAAGCGGGGAGGAGGAGCCCGTCCCCACCCCACTGGCCTCACCCTCGGCCCCTGGTGCCCGCCCTCACCGCCATGGTCCGGCTGCCGTGCAGACTCTGGATGGCCGCCTGAGCTTCCCCCTGACTCCCAAACTTCACAAAGGCACAGCCTGGGGCAGGACAGAGGGATTGGGTGGCTCAGGCCACAGGGGCCAAAGGGTCATGTGGCTCAGTGAGAGTCAGGATCACCAGGAAATGCTGGGGTCGGCTCAAGTCACCTTTACTGGTGCCATCCGGGCTCCGCAAGACAGTGCACTCCTCGATATGGCCGAAAGGCTGGAACAGGCGTCTGACATCATCCTCACCCTGCTGCTTCCCCAGCATCCCCACAAACAGCTTTCGGTCCTCTGGGGACAAATTCAGGAGTGATTTAGGGACCCTAAGTCCTCTTGGACTCCCCAGAGTAGCCAGAGGAACTTAGGAAGGTAGCCCACCACAGTCTAGCAAGGAAGAGATGTAGGGAGTGAGACGTCCAGGGCTACGAGGTTGGGTTTCTTTGAGGGGCAGGATGATCTGCAGACAGATCTAGAGTAAAGGAATTCAACCCAGATTTCCATCAGGAAACCCGGGGTCTTAGAAAATATGGAAAGACTCACTGCTGCTCTTGTGGAAATGGATTAGTTTGATATCTTTGGTTGGGTGGAGCCCTGTATGCATCTTTTATATGTGTGACCTTTCTGTTCTTAAAGTTTGGAAAAGGCCATTTTTGGACCATTTCTGCCCTATTAAGGGAGGAGGTCCTCAGAGAAGGCCTTTGTATTCATACTGGGTCTGGAGAAGAGAATTATACCCTTGTGGGTTAGCCTGATGGCAGTGGATAGAATCGATGTCCCTTCCTGCTCCAATCGAGGGTTCTGGATCAAAAAGCAGCACCAGAAGCAGTTAACTCATCATTCTGTCTCATCCCCTGACACTGAACTATGGAATGACGACTCCCAAACCCCAGCACCGAATTCAACTTGGGTGCTCCCAGAGACCTAAAGAGGGCAGGAATCTTGGGTTCCTAAGCCTCCAGCATTATCATTTCTCCCACTATACTTGCTAACAACCCTGACCCCTTTTCTTACCTCCCACATCCACCCTTCCCTCACTGAGCTGCCAGAGCCCTCACTGAGCCCTTTCTGACTTTTTCTATTTTCCTGTCCTGATCCCTCTCCAGGAGAAACAAGTTCTGCCTATAGACCTGGATGGCTACCTGAGAACAAATCTGATCCCTCCCCGTGTCCACCCTTCCTCTGGGAGTGGCAGAGAGACCAGGAAAGGGACTGTAAGCTGGACTGTGTTCCTTGGAGAAAGCTGGAGAGCTGGGGCTGGACATTCAGTAAATCAGGCCTCAAGAGCGCTATCCAGGAGCCTGGGGTAGAGAGGTCTAATCCACAGGGCCTGCTGTCAAAGCCCTGCTTCTTTCTGCATCAAGGTAAGTCTCTGAATTTGGGATGGGCCTTTCTCCAGGTGATACAAGTTGGGAGAGAGGAAGTGGGTGGGAATCTGGCTTCAGGCTTCACCTTCAAGGTCCTGGAGCCCAAGAAAACCCATCCCAAAGTCCTTTACTCCTTCACAAGCATGGCTAGGCTCATGGGGGTTCTTGGATCCCGGGCGCAACGGAGCAAGGCTGGTGAGAGTCAAAAGGAAGAACAGACTGTCTGAAGTTAGCAGTGGAGAGAATCTCCAACAAGGCCATATGTATGTCCATATTTCACCTGGATGGTGTGGGATTCAGCCCAGGCTTTCCTGGGTACCCAGAGGTGTCTGTCAGTCAATGCCGTGTTTGTGTGGAGGGTAGGGGCTGCAGGAATAGTGTGAGACAGGCATAGTGTGTTTCAGCAGAATCTGTCCAGAGGATTACTGCCCAGCCAACCCTGAGGGAGAAGAGATAGATAATGTACTTGTAGCCAGAATTCTAGAGGAGGTGCTGACCTTCTGTAGTGAGAGTATAATCTGGTGGGTGTGCTCCACTTCTGGGAGTGTTAGCCACAAAACAGTGCCATTGGAACATACCACTGGTTTCTCAACCTTTAAAAAAAGCAGTGGAATCCATTGTTCTAACAAAATATTAGGATGAAGTTCAAAATATAGGAGAAAAGCAAAACTGCTCTGAAGTGTGTGTGTGTGTGTGTGTGTGTGTGTGTGTGTGTGTGTCTGTCTGCATGCTGGAGTTCCTCTTGCTTCATTTCCCCCTAATATCCCCTAGATGGGGCTCCAAGGAAACTTCTTTGAAAACCATTGACCTAAAAAGAGACTAGAGTTCCAGAGGGTGTATGAAGAGGGATCTGTGATCATCCTATTCAGGAACCTGAGAAGACAGGAAAGGTCTTTCATGAATCTCTTGACCAGTATGATGTTGGTGGCTTTGCCTTGCCATTGGAGGATAAGCCTCATTTGGTCAGGGAATCAAACCCCAGAAGACTGTGTCATTGGTCTGAGGTTGAACATTTAAATATGTCCATGGGGCTGCATAAGGCCCAGGAGGAGCTGGAGAAAATCTTAGGGCCTCCAGAGTCCCAAACTTAAAGTGGCTTCATGATGCCTTAAATTATAGTGCAGCTGTGTCATTGGGAAGGGTCTACAAGATAGTCATTGTACCTAGGTAAGATGTCATGCCATAGAGACCAGCATTCAGATAGGTAGGAAAAGAGATGTCAAGGCTAGGATAACACCCCCAGGATGGGAAAGAGCGTTGTGTCGATAGTAGTCTTATCTTTTATCTGCTCTTCTTCTTGTTGATCTTTTCTGCAGGTGGTTGTCAGTTCAAGGTCATATTACAGACCATGAAATTCTATGATCCTTTTTTTCCAGTTAGAGTCTCCCAAGTTTCAAATGTCCATTTCCATTACAAGGCATCGACCCTGTGGCTCTGGGCTACTGGACTGTACAGAATTGAAATTGAAATGAGGCCAGGATAGAGACTGGGCGCTGTGCTGCCTGTTTTCCAGGTATCACCTTGAATCTTGATATTCTCTGCCATTTTACAGGGATCTGAATGGTGTTCGGCAGGTGACAGTGACCATAAGTCTTAGGTGATTCTTAAACGGTAGAATACATTTTCCACAGCCCTCAAGATTTGGAGGGCTGATCAATGCCCCAAAGGAGAGATAATGATGTGATTTAGTCCAGATAATTCAATTTCCTTCAGGTCAAACTCTACCAGTTTTGTAAAAAAGAAAAAAGAAGAAAAAGGAGTCTGTAAGAGGTAGGTCAGAAATGGCTGAATAAAAGCATCCCTTGGGTGGTGGGTGGGTCCCTAGAAAGATGGGAATATCAGACAGGGAGGTTCAACCTTCCTGAAGTGGGAGGAATTAAAAAGATAGCATCAGTGTGGAGTTGAGACATGGTGTTGGAAAGTTGAATGGTATGCATTTTTCTGTTGGCAACCAATGTGTACTCCTTGCTCTTTTATCAAATACTTTTTTGAAACCGAACCAAGTTGTTTGGGTCCAAGAGGCTTATCTCCATGAAGCTGATCAAACAGGTCAAGGACTCGAATCTAGCAAATGATGGGGTTTAGAGTCCAGAGTCAGACCACTCCATCTTCCTCAGGAATGGCACCAAGATGCTATTCAAGAAGGGAGGCCTTGCCTCAAGATGTCCCAGAGGAATTCCTGAGGTACTTTCAAGTTTCTAGCCTCTAGGTCCCTCATACCCACTCACCTCCATATAGGATGTCATGATTATACAAACTATGTAAGGGCAAGGTTTCAGCATTGAGATACCAACCATCAACCACCAAACACATCCTAAAAATACTGGTTCACCTTTCCTTCCAAACACCAACCCAGGAGTTTCCGCTGGTGGCAGCATTTGGAGCAAAGCATCTCTCCCTGTGTTCTTAGGGATAACTGAAGCTTAAGGAGCCAAGGAAGACTGGGAATTAACATGAAGGAAATATCCAGGGCAAAGAGTCTTCTGGCAAGATCTGATGAGCGTCAAGAAGGGCTTTGCACACACATGCACATCCCTCTTAGAACTAATAAATTAAGCAAAGTTGCAGAATACAAAATTAACAAATAAAAGTCAGCTGTGGCCCTGGCAGGTATTGCTCAGTGGTTAGAGTGTTGGTTTGATTCATGGTCAAGGGCATGTACCTGGGTTGCAGGTTCAATTCCCAGTGCCAGTGGGCATGTGCAGGAGGCAACCAATTGATGTATTTCTCTCATATTGATGTCTCTCTCTCTCTTTCTACTCTCTCTAAAAGCAATGGAAAAAATATCCTTGGGTGAGGATCAAAAATAATTTTTTTAACTCAGTTGTATTCCTATACACTAGTAGTGAACAATATGAACAGGAAATTATGAAAATAATTTCACTTATAATAGTATCAAAATGAATAAAGTACTTAGGAATAAACTTAACCAAGGAGGCAAAAGACTTTTACCCTGAAAACTACAAAATATTGCTGAACTTAAAGAAGATGTAAATAAATGGAAGATAATCCCTGTTCATGATTAAAAGACATGATATTGTTAAATGTCAACACTACCCAAAGTGATCTACAAATTTAATGCAATCTCTGTCAAAATCCCAATGGCATTTTTGGTAGAAATAAAAATCCATTCTAAAATTCACATGGAATCTTAAGAGACTCTGAATAACCAAAGCAATCTTGAAAAAGAAGCAAGTTGTGCTCTGGCTCAGTTGGTTGAGCATCATCCATGTACTGAAAGGTTGCTGGTTCAATTCTTGGTCAGGGCACATGTCCAGGTTGCAGGCTCGATCCCTGGTTAGGGAGTGTGGGGGAGGCTGCTGATTGATGTTTTTCTCTCTATCCTTCTCCCTTTCTCTCTCTCTCAAATCAATAAACATTTCTTTTTTAAAGAAGCAAGTTGAAGGTCTCACACTTCCTGATTTTAAAACTATTACAGCCTTTCCGGTGTGGCTCAGTGGTTGGGTGTCAACTCATGAACCAAGAGGTCCTCCATTTGACTCCCAGTAAGGGCACATGCCCCAATTGTGGGCTTGATCCCCTGTAGAGGGTGTGCAGGGGAAGCTGATTAATGTGTCTCTCTCATCAATGTTTCTCTCTATCCCTCTCCCTTCCTCTCTCTCTAAAAAAAAAAAATCAATAAAAACATATTTAAAAAATAAAATGTAAAAGCTTATTACAAAGCTATAGTAATCCAACAATGTGATACTGGCATAAAGACAGACACATAGATCAGTGGAATAGTATAGAGAGCCCAGAAGTAAGCCCTTGCATATATGGTCAAATGATTTTGACACAAGTGCCAGTCTTTTCAACAAATGGTGCTGAAAAAACTGGATGTTTACATGCAAAAGAATAAAGTTGGACTGCTACCTCATATCATATAAAAAATGAGCTGAAATGGATCAAAGACCTAAACATAAGTGC